CGTAGGGGCGGATCCCCTTTAAGGGGGATACGGACGAAAAGATTATATTCCGTTCCACTCCTCCTCCTCCTTTTTTCTTGGCTACCTCCTCCTCCTCCTCCTCCTCCTCCTCCTCCTCCTCTTTTTCTTGGCTACCTCCTTCGTCTCTTCCTCCTCCTCCTCCTCCTCCTCCTCCTCCTCTTTTTCTTGGCTACCTCCTGCCTTCTACTCCTCGTCCCTGACCTACGAACAGACTTTATATTAGGATCCCAGCGTTTTTTTTTTTTTTTTTTTTTTTTTTTTTTAGTTCCTACTTAATTAATACTCCTTTTTAGGATCATGGTGGAGCTCTGGACATCTGCCTTATTGAACTCGGCGCCACTGACCTCGGATAATACCTTTTTTTTTTAGGCTCGTAGGGGCGGATCCTCTTTAAGGGGGATACGGACGAAAAGATTATATTCCGTTCTCTTTCTTTTTTTTTTTTTTTTCTTTTTTTTAGGGTGGGGTTGGAGGGTTTCAAAAGAGGAATAAATCTTTGGGTATTTTTAGGCGGTTGATAGCACTCTCTTCGCCCTTCTCTTATATACTTGTTTACACACACTCTCCCTACATAGAGAAACAGGGTGAAGGACGCTTAAAGATAGTAAAAAAATTCTCTTTGGATTATTTTCTTCATTCTTATTTGTGTTTTTGTGTTTCTTCAATTTTATTTGTGTTTCTTCATTTTCATTTGTGTATTTGTGTTTCTTCATTTTTTTGTGTGTATTTGTGCTTCTTCATTCTTATTTGTGTTTTTGTGTTTCTTCAATTTTATTTGTGTTTTTGTGTTTCTTCATTTTTATTTGTATTTTTGTGTTTCTTCATTTTCATTTGTGTATTTGTGTTTCTTCATTTTTATTTGTGTATTTGTGTTTCTTCATTTTTATTTGTGTATTTGTGTTTCTTCATTTTTATTTGTGTATTTGTGTTTCTTCATTTTTATTTGTGTATTTGTGTTTCTTCATTTTTATTTGTGTATTTGTGTTTCTTCATTTTTATTTGTTTTTGTGTTTCTTCATTTTTATTTGTGTATTTGTGTTTCTTCATTTTTATTTGTGTATTTGTGTTTCTTCATTTTTATTTGTGTATTTGTGTTTCTTCATTTTTATTTGTGTATTTGTGTTTCTTCATTTTTATTTGTTTTTGTGTTTCTTCATTTTTATTTGTATTTGTGTATCTTCAATTTTATTTGTGTATTTGTGTTTCTTCATTTTTATTTATCTATTTGTATTTCTTCATTTTAATTTGTGTTTTTGTGTTTCTTCATTTTTATTTTTCTATTTGTATTTCTTCATTTTTATTTGTGTACTAAAGTTTATCCATAATCTGAAGGCACACTTTAGGCTGAAAAAAATATGATCCAGCTTCCAAGACTAACGAAGTTGGGAGAATTTTCAAACTTTGAGCAGGTTTTCAGAAGTTCTTAATTCGAGAACATCTTCCCTTTCATACATGCAGGGTCTTATGCAATATATGCATAGATACACACACACACACACACACACACATATATATACAGAATGTGTGTGTGTGTGTTGTGTCCGTGTGTGTGCGTGTGTGCGTGCGTGTGTGTGTGTGTGTGTGTGTGTGTGTGTGTGTGTGTGTGTGTGTGTGTGTGTGTGTGTGTGTGTGTGTGTGTGTGTGTGTGTGTGTGAGTGTGTGTGTGTGTGTGTGTGTGTGTGTGTGTGTGTGTGTGTGTGTGTGTGTGTGTGTGTGTGTGTGTGTGTGTGTTGTGTCCGTGTGTGTGTGTGTGTGTGTGTGTGTGTGTGTGTGTGTGTGTGTGTGTGTGTGTGTGTGTGTGTGTGTGTGTGTGTGTGTGTGTGTGTGTGTGTGTGCGCGCGCGTGCGTGCATGCGTGTTTGTGCGTGCATGCGAATCCCTGACAACCAGAATCCGCTAAATCTCTATCATGTCAGGAGGAAATATAGGAGAGTCCCCCCCTCCCTCCGCCAGACCAGGAGGGGAGACTAATGAAGAAAGAGTTATGCGGTGCTGACGGCCAGACCGAGGAATTTATCGAATATAACCTGGTTCGGATGTTATCAAATACTGGAAAGACATGGGAATAGCTCATACCTATATTAGGCTTTTTTATCATGGTGAATTCTGTTGTATCGTAAAGTAATGAAGATTCGGTCGGTTGTATATACTTGTAAGATCCATTTGATCACCGAACGAAAAGAGAGAAGGCTTGAAACTATTATTATTATTCATTTCATCCTTTACTCACAAAAGGATGTCGGTACATTAACCTACATTATGGACAGAGGATAGTCATGTGTCTGATCCAGAATATCATCAATTTCTTTTGATCTGTCTAGCGAGTGGAATACCCCAATTCTGCAACATGTCTGTGAGATTAAATCCGCTGGTTCAGGATTGTTTCCCTGAAATTTTTTGCAATGCTGATGTCATTCTAGAGGATGACCTACATGCAGAATAAGATGTCTTTGGGAAAACTATCAGCTGTACGAAGAATTTCCGTACACGAAGGACTAGTCGAACTGCCTCCCGTACCTGCTTCTGAGTATGTCAAAGGTTGGTTTATACAGAGGGTTACATTCAACCACCATTGCATTTTGACATAATCCCAAAATTGGTTAGTGATCATATCTTTCTATTTCCTCCAGATCCACATTCCAAAATTCAAATCGAAGAGTTGTATCTTAATTATCAATTGCAGTACCGTGTTTTTTTTTTGTTTTTTTTTGGATGAGATACTGTCAGCACGAGAAGACATCATGGAAGATAGAAAGCTACCATACGCTATAATAACTTAAAAGAAAAAGTGTATGTTTTAGAACACAAAGACAAAGAAATGGCGCATATCAGAGAAACCTATAATCATTTCTGAAGGCAAACAGGGAGGTCAAGGAAATGAAGAAGACAAGTCAGAATATCGACAGGATATCAGCGGCATCAATCATTCCCCGAAGAAGGTATGGGTTACATACACCGCAATTCCCAACTAAATAACTATATTCATACAGCCAGAGCGAACGAACTCGAGCTGACATTTTCTCGACGCAATGTTCCGAAACCTCAAATGCATCTTCACTTCCTCAGGATGTTGTTGATGTTCTCCAAAAGACCGGAATGAACACGAATTCGAACACTGAAATTGTATGTTCCTATGAGGAGGATGGCGAATATCCTATTATTTCCCAAGAGCAGTCTCCTCTTAGAAAAGGTAAATTCACTGTTCTTGACGTAGACGGCATTACAGATGACATACCTTGTGTACTACTTGACTCCTTTGTGACAGAACCATCTATGTGCAGAGACATTTCACAAAAAATGAGCACAGCATTTTCCCAATTTTTTATGCATTTTCCCCGGCGACATATAGTTAATTTCACAAAGAAAGTACCCTGCCATCAGCGTGGACATCTGGCTTTAAACTCCCTACGTTTAACTTAACCAGTATTAAATTCAGGTCTGTTACTCTCACCTCATATGTATAGAAGGTTATGGAAAGGACTGTGATAAAACTAAAAAAAAGAAAAAAAAAATGAGAAAAACTGATGCCACACACTTACCTGAAGAAGCTCAAGCTCATCTCCCAGCTTCTTCTTGCTCGATGCTTCCTCATCTGGTAATAAAATCCTGTAGCTGTAGATGTCTATACTTTGACATTCATATTCATTGCCAAATTTACTATGGCAAATTGCAGTGGGCGAGTTGCCTCAGCACGTTGTACGATTTGTAGAAAAGCTAAGAACTGCTTCTCTTGCTACTGATTACATAAAGCATAGTAAAAACGGTGTGAGGTGGTGTGATCTCAAGTGGCACTGAACATCATATGTATGTATATATCTATCTATCTATCTATCTATCTATCTATCTATCTATCTATACCACTTGAATTTTTTTTTATTGACAAATTTGACAGAATAAGTTTATGTAAACATTAGTTGATGTCCTAAAATATTTCTATATAAAATATAAAATTGTATTTCTTTAAAATCACGTGATATGTAGGAGAATGTCCGTTTGCTTCCCGGGACGTGAGCTTACCCGAATGGCGTGAGGTTTGTCTTGCAATAGGGACCATTTTAACATACGTAAAGGTCATACAGAAACGCAAACATTGACGGAAAAAATGCTTGTGTGAAAGTTGATTATTGAAAAATTCCTGCCGCGTCAACATCTCAGCTCATTCGCAGCGTATTAAAAAATAGAGCGATAGGGCGGGCCTTGGGGGGAAGAAGCCCGCAGGTAAGGAAGGTCTTTGGTTCAATAAGGCGAAGTTTGTGGATTTTCTTGAATGGTTAATGGTCAAAATAAATAATAACGCCAGACATCAAAGGTCAAATAGCATTACGATTATGTTATTGTGTCGAAAAGGGTAAAAATGAGTTAACGAATAGGGGAAGTGGAAAGGAGGAGACGAAAAGACAATGCAAAATTAGTTGATACTATATAATGCTTCTTAAGGCCTCTTTTCCTTTAGCTTTCCCAAAGGTGTAAATGTTGGTGAAAACGGAGATACGTCTCAATTTTCTTCTTTCTTTCCATTTCCAAGATAGATCAGTAATGTTGCAGAAATCATTTTTACATAACACTAATAATAACACCACACATAAAAGCTGACAAAAATCAATATTGAATTTACTTTCATTAAATGTCCTTTCTGTTTATAGCTCCAGGAATCGAACCACATGCAAGGAAAATAAAACAATGACAAATAAAGCATTCTCTTCTCAAGGGCCACTTTCTATCTTTATCTTTGTATCTCTTCCAGCTTCAGAATTTAATTCAGGCTAAATAGATATGACTGCCCTTCCTTTTTTCCATTGTAAGTCTATATAAGTCTATTGTCAGCTGTGCAATTCTTTTATTTATTACAATTCTTTATTCTTTAGAAACAATTAATGGTTAAAACAAATATAAGCACTGAACTCATGAGAAAACAGGGAAAGTAATACATATAAAACTCTGAATTAGAGCATATCAACAGAGGATAATAATACATCAAAATTTGTGTGTTTGGTTTATATTGTTATTTCCTTTATATTGTATGCAAATGTAAGCCTTATTACTAAAAGTGAAAATACATGGAATTCTCCAAGAGAACAATACCTCCTTTCTGCTCAATGTCTGCTTTAGCAAAACGTACACATCGTCAAACATTTTACAAAATTGCTGCGTACCTATTTTACTATTATTCATTTGGAGGGGTTTCAGAAATCATACTATAATGGTTTCATCACAAATAACTATTTACATCCATACTTCAAACACAACCAAACTTTGGGCAAATACAAACAGAAATCTGGCATGATCCTGGCACAAAATAACAGCGAACACGACAGAAAATTAGCTGGTCTTGCAATTGTACTTTGCATTTTTCTTTGTGCACTTCTGGTGACCAAGAATTTATGGCTTTACAATAATGCATAAAAATGTTTATTTTTTTTATTTATTTAAAAAAAAATCATGATAATAAATATATACATAAATTAGATTCCTAGGGAAATGTGGCCCATCATATAAAATGATTGAACACCGACTATGTTCCCGAACAGGTACATGTGATCAAAGTCACGGCAAGTCTGCGTCCTTAAGACCACTAGAGGAAAGTACGGGTATTTTAAAACTTAAAAGAAAAAAAAAGTATATGAAAACAACTAACAATTAATACAAGACGGCATTCCTAGTGGCCATCAGATCTCACCATCGCACTTCTCCAAGGTCTTGCTTTGCAAACTCGTCCTCAGTCGTACTGTTGGGTCTTCAAAAAAAGTTGTGAGTGGGTCAGTGAGCCAGAAAACCCTATTGTAAATGTTTCTCAATCTTGCTAAGCTAAATGAAGAAATAATTATATGACATTCCTATCTTTTCTCTCTGTCTCCTTCTCAATTTTCTATCTATCTGCCAGACTACCAGCCTGGATGAATAAAATTACAATAACTAAAACAAATGAAGAACACAACAGCTGTGTCTACAGGCAGGTTACAACTAGCTATGCAACTGACGAGAACATTCGACCAAAGAACAGCTTTGTCTCTTGGTTTTCTGGGATTCCAGCCAGTCAGATCTTCTCTAAGTCTTTGCCCACGTCTGTCTATTGAGTCATTTCCTAAGTCTTTTGACTTATATTTCTTGTGAGGCTTTCCAGAGCACTTCTTACCACATACCTATATATTCAATATATATAAATATTAAAAGAAAAAAAATAAATGTTCGATAAAAAAAGTCGATGGTAAGAATGAAGACCGTCCTCTTCTTCCAATAGCATTAATATGCATCGCTGTGATACAATACCAATACCAACATTTTCAAATTATTTGAAAAAATCATTATAATGAAAGTGATGAAGTTGGCAATGATTAATACAAATATGATAGTAGTAGCAATAATAATAATAATAATCATAATTATACGAATACCATTAACAACAATAGCAATTACAGTAGTAACCTTACTAGTGGAAGCTGTAATGCTCAAATGTGGTTGCAGGAAATCAACTTTATAAGATCTTGATAATTTGGTCACTTCTTATCTTCTCAATCCTCTACAAAAATGACAATCGAGAAAACAAGATTCCAGCAAGGACATTCATCTACTTAATGGAAGAAACAACCTCCATTATATTAAAAAAATAACAACATAACAAATAAAATAAACAAAAAAAACAATGACAATAGTTACTACAGCAATAAGAAGTTACATTTTTACAGACCACAAGGCAACATGGTAATAGTTAGAAAAAATTGAATCATAATAAATATAAATAAACAAAATCATCCTGACAACACTGACAAACACAAAATGAAAAAAACGAACCAAATGTCCTAACCTCTCTACAGAACTGAAACGGAACAATGTCTTTTTTTTTTTGTTTTGTTTTGTTCAACCTTTCTTTGCTCTAATCCAAAAATTCTGCATAGTGGGACACCAACTTGGATGATACTCTACTTACAATTGAACACAGCTACAAAACTATTGTAGGTGGAAATGGAATGTGAAATCGACACACCAAACCGAAAGTCCTACAGGCCTTGTTCGTATAAGATGAGGTCATGAGATACCAGTCACTACCACACCATACTGTAGTCGGTTACATGGGGGAAACAGGGCAAGGGGGTGGAGGGTGACACTATTATAGGCTCTAGCGATTAAGGTTAGGATATATATATATATATTTCTTTACAGGGCACTTCTGAAAATGTGTTCTGAGGTTATTCATCACTGTATCTTCTTTTTCATCCTTTTTTTTTTCCCCAAATTTACAAACCCTTGGCTTTTACAACAATGTACCGAGTCATTATAAACAGTAGAATTCTATTGAGAACTTTCATTGAATATCTGATCAAACAACAGTTTCCAGTGCAATTACAAAACACCTTGCTTCTTTTTAATCATTTGTATACATCAATTTATACAGATTTTTGAACACTAGAACCATACTTTTGGTATCATGATATACAGGGACAGTGTAGGAATAGTATACATTTACTTCTAATACTGAGGTATCCACTTGGTACAAAACTGATCATATATATATCTTACCAAATAGTGGTTCACAATCTAAACTACACCTAATACTTTTTGTAGCCATGATAGTTATGGCTCTCCTTCATGAACTGTGAAAACCATCCATTCATTAATTCTCACCACAACAACATGAAGTACTCAAAATTCACAATACCTACACCTACACCTTGCTTAATCTCTTGAGGAAAAAAAAAAAAGTAATAACAATAATAAAAATAAAATAAGAAATAAAAGTTCCCACAGCTATCAATTCTGACAGAAGGCAGGGGTACTATTAGAGGGACTATGGCATTTGGAAGGGGAAGGGGAGGAGGAGCTTGGGGAAATCTGGATGGTGATGTGAGGGAGAGGGGGGGGAGAGGGAGGGTGAGGAAGGAGGACCATTCACATATACACAATAGACATCATGTACCTAATCCCTAGAAGGTCACCTGTGAAGTCACTCGTACACATCGGCCTTTGGGGGCCCAGTCATTGGCTAGTTTTGATACAATGAAGTGTTTTGACGTCACTGGGAGCATGACTGTTGGTGGATGTCTAAAAAGGTTACAGGGGGTTGGTTTGTTGGATCGTTGGTTGGTTAGGGTAGTAGTATGTCGCTGTGTTGGCTGTCCGTAACTGTCCGTAGTGTAGTCGGCGTAGTCACGATGTCAACACTCTGCTGTGGAAATGAGATAATTCCGTGAAGTCAAAGAACAGCCATATATATAGAGAGAGATTTTATATACATTTACAGGCCAGAACTTTCTTTCAACTGAGATTCAAAAATGTTTACTTCCATGAACCTTAAACATACACTACTGTAACAATAAAGCATAAAAAAGATCTGCCAAAGAGATATCTTTACATTCTTAAGCCTGGCCATGAATGTTCACAAGGAAACACAACACTGATAGATAAAAAAAGCAAAACTGTGACTCCATATCAACAAATTCTCTACTTGATGGACGAGAAAGGAAAATAATTTTATCAAAAAGTAGTAACAAAATATTTCATTAAGAACTTCAATTAAAAAAGAAAGTAAATCCCAGATCTAACACATCACTGAAATACAGATTTCAGGGAGTGCACAATAAAACATGTTGCAGGAAAACCAACAGACAATTTTACCCGTCACCAATCATGCTCTGAGAAAAAAAAAAAAAAAAAAAAAAAAAAAAAAAAAAAAAAAAAAAAAAAAAAAAAAAAAAAAAAAAAAAAAAAAAAAAAAAAAAAAAAAAAAAAAAAAAAAAAAAAAAAAAAAAAAAAAAAAAAAAAAAAAAAAAAAAAAAAAAAAAAAAAAAAAAAAAAAAAAAAAAAAAAAAAAAAAAAAAAAAAAAAAAAAAAAAAAAAAAAAAAAAAAAAAAAAAAAAAAAAAAAAAAAAAAAAAAAAAAAAAAAAAAAAAAAAAAAAAAAAAAAAAAAAAAAAAAAAAAAAAAAAAAAAAAAAAAAAAAAAAAAAAAAAAAAAAAAAAAAAAAAAAAAAAAAAAAAAAAAAAAAAAAAAAAAAAAAAAAAAAAAAAAAAAAAAAAAAAAAAAAAAAAAAAAAAAAAAAAAAAAAAAAAAAAAAAAAAAAAAAAAAAAAAAAAAAAAAAAAAAAAAAAAAAAAAAAAAAAAAAAAAAAAAAAAAAAAAAAAAAAAAAAAAAAAAAAAAAAAAAAAAAAAAAAAAAAAAAAAAAAAAAAAAAAAAAAAAAAAAAAAAAAAAAAAAAAAAAAAAAAAAAAAAAAAAAAAAAAAAAAAAAAAAAAAAAAAAAAAAAAAAAAAAAAAAAAAAAAAAAAAAAAAAAAAAAAAAAAAAAAAAAAAAAAAAAAAAAAAAAAAAAAAAAAAAAAAAAAAAAAAAAAAAAAAAAAAAAAAAAAAAAAAAAAAAAAAAAAAAAAAAAAAAAAAAAAAAAAAAAAAAAAAAAAAAAAAAAAAAAAAAAAAAAAAAAAAAAAAAAAAAAAAAAAAAAAAAAAAAAAAAAAAAAAAAAAAAAAAAAAAAAAAAAAAAAAAAAAAAAAAAAAAAAAAAAAAAAAAAAAAAAAAAAAAAAAAAAAAAAAAAAAAAAAAAAAAAAAAAAAAAAAAAAAAAAAAAAAAAAAAAAAAAAAAAAAAAAAAAAAAAAAAAAAAAAAAAAAAAAAAAAAAAAAAAAAAAAAAAAAAAAAAAAAAAAAAAAAAAAAAAAAAAAAAAAAAAAAAAAAAAAAAAAAAAAAAAAAAAAAAAAAAAAAAAAAAAAAAAAAAAAAAAAATAAAAAAAAAAGATAAAACATTAATAACAATCATAATGGTTAACATCCCTTTGGATGAAGAACATATTTTAGGCAATGCCAACCACCTTATAAAGAGCATACAAATTAATGTATAAATACTGCCACTGAAGCCTGTTTCAAGTTCATTTCCAATACCAAAGGTGTGGTATGAATTCAAAGTACTGTTTCTTCACTTACAGTCCTCTCATTATGGCAACTGACTAAGAACTGCAGGATTACATTCAATTATTACCAGGAATAGGCCTAAGAAAAAATATAACACCATAAAAAGAGGTTAATACTATCACAAATGTACACATTATTTACTGTATATATATATATACCACATTTGTAAAATATATGCAAATAAAGTTAGTTCTCTTTAAATATGTATTTGGCAAAATATGTACATCATCTATTTTTACTACTTCACAGTCCTACTAATAACGATAAAAGTCATTAATTATAAGGGTAACTGGTTGTATTTTGGTCTCTATTTTTAGTCCTTTCCTTTACCAAAGCATGTACCTGAAAGCAGATCTTCTGACTTGCACAGGTATAAGTGAATGATTGTGTACTTGTAAAGTGAATGGGCAGATAAAACACCTGCCTGTGATGGAGCTCAATATTAGAGCTAGTTTTTTATAATGAGTGTGTTGACTATGAGAGAGAGAGAGAGAGAGAGAGAGAGAGAGAGAGAGAGAGAGAGAGAGAGAGAGAGAGAGAGAGAGAGAGAGAGAGAGAGAGAGAGAGAGAGAGAGAGAGTGAGAGAGTGAGAGAGTGAGAGAGTGAGAGAGTGAGAGAGTGAGAGAGTGAGTGAGTGAGTGAGTGAGTGAGTGAGTGAGTGAGTGAGTGAGTGAGTGAGTGAGTGAGTGAGTGAGTGTCTTTTGCCAGCTATATTATTACTTGCAATAAGAAGCACCATGTGCTCTTCCCAATGCCTGAGGAATCCACCCAGTCATCAGTAAATGCAATATACACATACAAATGATAAAGAAACACTCCAAACGCAAAGGGCATCATTAAAAAAGGTTTAAAATGTATAAACAGTCAATGAGCAAAATATACAGAGCCACATGAACTCATCTTATAAAAGGTATTTGCATTGAAAACATCTACTAACTGCAGACAAGACCCTTCCTTGAACCAGTTAAGCATGTTTTATAAGGCATCAAAAAGCACAATGCATGCACCAACATCAGCTGACCTCCAAAGGTCCTTTTAAACTTCATTTTAATTAGGTACAATATGAAATTTATATAAAAAATCATTTAAACTTAAACCAAAAATACTAAGACGAAAATAACTAAGTAAATAAAAATTATACTAAATTCAATTAAAAAAAGTATGACATGCTATCATTCAGAACCAAAGTTCCGCATTTCATCTAGTTGGACAGTTTTATAATCTGTATGATATATGAAAGAAAAGTCTAATGTTCTAAACTTTACATTTTGCCTTTTGTTTCCTTCTTTGTTCCTTGTACATTGTAATTTTCTTTAACTTCCACATACTTGAAAACAAAACAAAAAACAAAAGCAAAAAAATTCTCTTTCTAAACACACCAGTCACCAAATTTCCTTTAAAATTACTTTAGTTCTCTACAGAAAAAAATAACTGGCAATATAGCAATCACACAACGCTAAATTTCCCTTCCATGACATAAAAAGTGCAACGGTTTTAAATATGCTTAAGGGCTCCCTAAACCTAACCTATAATTATCAATAAACAAATTTACTTCCTATTATCCCTTCTCCCCCCCCCCCCCCATCCATACAATCAATAGAGGATACAATGCACTATTGTAAACAGCTGGCACTTATCAAGTTGTTAACGAAATAAATTTTTGTCAAAGTTATCAAATAATAACAATCATCACAAGTATTATCATAACTGTAGTACTTGTAGTAGCAGTAATAATGGTAGTAGAAGTGATAGCAGCAGCACCAGCAAGAGGAGAGTAAATAGAAGCAGGAAAAAGGAAGAAAACAGAGATTGAGACAAAAGCAGTAGTAATAGTAGTAGTAGTAGTAATAGTAATAGTAGTAGTAGTAGTAGTAGTAGTAATAGGTGAGAACATAGTAGTACTATCAAAAACTCTTAATCCCCTTCATAATTGAAGTTTCATAGCCTGGGTGAAGATTTTTTTCTTCTTTAAAAATATTAGAAATATGGCAAAAAAAAAAAAAAAAAGACTGCCACTTATTTTCTCGGATACATTCCCTTTTCTGTTTAAAATACTACCATTTCTCTAAGCCAAACTGTATTGCAGGAAAAAAAAATATAGGTCAATGAAATAATATCCTATTCCCCCCCCCCCCCATCTCTTCAATACACACTATATTCATTGTTATTAATCCCAGTTTCCTAGCATCTGAAAATCATGCTACTACTGCCCTCCCATAGTCCATTCATAAGTCTTGAATAATGAAAGCTGACTTCACAAGGATGGCAATGTTCTGTCTGTGTTTCATCAAAGAATAATAATCCATCTAACTGCTGACCCACATACATGCCTTGACTTTTATGACATTACAACATACAGATTTGTGAACTACAAACTATTCTGTAATGACAATAAACTCTTATTGTTTTTCTTTTTTCTTTTTTACACGTATGTACAAATAGATCTGTGTACATCAACACACAATACAATACATACAATTACACTCACAACCCAAAACAATCAAACAACACCCACAAAAGCCTACCCTAGTCATGTTTCCTTTATAATCCAAACACCAACTTTACATACCAATTCACCAAACGGCACTGCCTTGTTCATTTTTAAAGATGTGCATTTTTGAGAGAATTTCACCTGAATGTTACAATATACTTTCCTGGTAAAAAGAATTATAAAAACAATAAATAGATAAGTAACATAAAAGTGGATGAGAAAAACTGAACACATCAAGCAGTTTGAAGCATTCCATGCTATGACCACCATACATGCTTCTTTTAGTAATAAAAAAAAAATCATTTCTCTCTAACTTTGTCCTCATACATTTTCTCCTCTTTGCAAAATAACATAGTAATTAGTAGTAGTAAGTAGTAGTAGTAGTAGTAGTAGTAGTAGTAGTAGTAGTAGTAGTAGTAGTAGTAGTAGTAGTAGTAGTAGTAGTAGTAGTAGTAGTAGTAGTAGTAGTAGTAGTAGTAGTAGTAGTAGTAGTAGTAGTAGTAGTAGTAGTAGTAGTAGTAGTAGTAGTAGTAGTAGTAGTAGTAGTAGTAGTAGTAGTAGTAGTAGTAGTAGTAGTAGTAGTAGTAGTAGTAGTAGTAGTAGTAGTAGTAGTAGTAGTAGTAGTAGTAGTAGTAGTAGTAGTAGTAGTAGTAGTAGTAGTAGTAGTAGTAGTAGTAGTAGTAGTAGTAGTAGTAGTAGTAGTAGTAGTAGTAGTAGTAGTAGTAGTAGTAGTAGTAGTAGTAGTAGTAGTAGTAGTAGTAGTAGTAGTAGTAGTAGTAGTAGTAGTAGTAGTAGTAGTAGTAGTAGTAGTAGTAGTAGTAGTAGTAGTAGTAGTAGTAGTAGTAGTAGTAGTAGTAGTAGTAGTAGTAGTAGTAGTAGTAGTAGTAGTAGTAGTAGTAGTAGTAGTAGTAGTAGTAGTAGTAGTAGTAGTAGTAGTAGTAGTAGTAGTAGTAGTAGTAGTAGTAGTAGTAGTAGTAGTAGTAGTAGTAGTAGTAGTAGTAGTAGTAGTAGTAGTAGTAGTAGTAGTAGTAGTAGTAGTAGTAGTAGTAGTAGTAGTAGTAGTAGTAGTAGTAGTAGTAGTAGTAGTAGTAGTAGTAGTAGTAGTAGTAGTAGTAGTAGTAGTAGTAGTAGTAGTAGTAGTAGTAGTAGTAGTAGTAGTAGTAGTAGTAGTAGTAGTAGTAGTAGTAGTAGTAGTAGTAGTAGTAGTAGTAGTAGTAGTAGTAGTAGTAGTAGTAGTAGTAGTAGTAGTAGTAGTAGTAGTAGTAGTAGTAGTAGTAGTAGTAGTAGTAGTAGTAGTAGTAGTAGTAGTAGTAGTAGTAGTAGTAGTAGTAGTAGTAGTAGTAGTAGTAGTAGTAGTAGTAGTAGTAGTAGTAGTAGTAGTAGTAGTAGTAGTAGTAGTAGTAGTAGTAGTAGTAGTAGTAGTAGTAGTAGTAGTAGTAGTAGTAGTAGTAGTAGTAGTAGTAGTAGTAGTAGTAGTAGTAGTAGTAGTAGTAGTAGTAGTAGTAGTAGTAGTAGTAGTAGTAGTAGTAGTAGTAGTAGTAGTAGTAGTAGTAGTAGTAGTAGTAGTAGTAGTAGTAGTAGTAGTAGTAGTAGTAGTAGTAGTAGTAGTAGTAGTAGTAGTAGTAGTAGTAGTAGTAGTAGTAGTAGTAGTAGTAGTAGTAGTAGTAGTAGTAGTAGTAGTAGTAGTAGTAGTAGTAGTAGTAGTAGTAGTAGTAGTAGTAGTAGTAGTAGTAGTAGTAGTAGTAGTAGTAGTAGTAGTAGTAGTAGTAGTAGTAGTAGTAGTAGTAGTAGTAGTAGTAGTAGTAGTAGTAGTAGTAGTAGTAGTAGTAGTAGTAGTAGTAGTAGTAGTAGTAGTAGTAGTAGTAGTAGTAGTAGTAGTAGTAGTAGTAGTAGTAGTAGTAGTAGTAGTAGTAGTAGTAGTAGTAGTAGTAGTAGTAGTAGTAGTAGTAGTAGTAGTAGTAGTAGTAGTAGTAGTAGTAGTAGTAGTAGTAGTAGTAGTAGTAGTAGTAGTAGTAGTAGTAGTAGTAGTAGTAGTAGTAGTAGTAGTAGTAGTAGTAGTAGTAGTAGTAGTAGTAGTAGTAGTAGTAGTAGTAGTAGTAGTAGTAGTAGTAGTAGTAGTAGTAGTAGTAGTAGTAGTAGTAGTAGTAGTAGTAGTAGTAGTAGTAGTAGTAGTAGTAGTAGTAGTAGTAGTAGTAGTAGTAGTAGTAGTAGTAGTAGTAGTAGTAGTAGTAGTAGTAGTAGTAGTAGTAGTAGTAGTAGTAGTAGTAGTAGTAGTAGTAGTAGTAGTAGTAGTAGTAGTAGTAGTAGTAGTAGTAGTAGTAGTAGTAGTAGTAGTAGTAGTAGTAGTAGTAGTAGTAGTAGTAGTAGTAGTAGTAGTAGTAGTAGTAGTAGTAGTAGTAGTAGTAGTAGTAGTAGTAGTAGTAGTAGTAGTAGTAGTAGTAGTAGTAGTAGTAGTAGTAGTAGTAGTAGTAGTAGTAGTAGTAGTAGTAGTAGTAGTAGTAGTAGTAGTAGTAGTAGTAGTAGTAGTAGTAGTAGTAGTAGTAGTAGTAGTAGTAGTAGTAGTAGTAGTAGTAGTAGTAGTAGTAGTAGTAGTAGTAGTAGTAGTAGTAGTAGTAGTAGTAGTAGTAGTAGTAGTAGTAGTAGTAGTAGTAGTAGTAGTAGTAGTAGTAGTAGTAGTAGTAGTAGTAGTAGTAGTAGTAGTAGTAGTAGTAGTAGTAGTAGTAGTAGTAGTAGTAGTAGTAGTAGTAGTAGTAGTAGTAGTAGTAGTAGTAGTAGTAGTAGTAGTAGTAGTAGTAGTAGTAGTAGTAGTAGTAGACAACAACAAAAAATGACACATTTGAAATCTGTGCAACACTTTTGCTCTATGTCCCTCAACAGGATGTGTTCCTGTGCATGTTAACAGCCATGCATCATATCTCCTCTATCACAGATATCATTATCACAGCATACATCAACAAGATTCTAAAGCTTGAAGTCAATCTTTTAAAAAATACTGATCAATCTGACTTAAAAATTTATGGAACGTGAGACTCTGGAAACAGTATCAAAATAAGTGATATCTCTTTATGCAGAACAAAACACAAGTGTAAGGAAAAATTGCATTGCAGTTTTAAATACATGCCAAGCACACCGGTGATGCTATCAGTTCATGCACACACATACCATTGCCTCAGACAGCATACAAGACCACAGAGGCATTTCCCCTTTACAGCCCCTGCTATCATGCATTCTTGTAAAATACACATTCTTTCTTTTGTATTATGGAGTCTTCTTGCATAGAAACGTACAAGTTCTAGGCGTATGCAGAGAAATTCTCCCAAGAACCAGTTACAGAGCCAATACACATGACAAAGAAAAATAGTGTTTCTGGGCATTTCCCTTCTTTCTCAACCATCTCTCTGCACACATAGGAAGATATTAACAGAACAGCTGTCTGCTTTCACAAAGAAAAAAGACGACGCATTCCTGACATTTCTGAAGTCTGCCATCTATCTACAGTGAGAATCTGATATCGTATATCCCAAGACTATCCACTTACTCAATTCAGCTGGCTAAAAATAGTTTGTTTGTTTTTTCTCTTAAACCATCTCTAGATTCAATAATGCTATAATGATATACATATATATATATATATATACAGGCAATACAAACTTTCTTTGATATATCATAAAATAGGAAGGCCATCCCCAGGCACTATCTTGGGAGGTACAAATAATCACAATTCTCTCTCAACCGAGCCTAATAGTCAGAAAGTTGCATGTGTCAGGGCACTCAATGCATACCTCGTGGCAGGGATGCTCAACTCTGATCATCGATGCGTAGTCTCTTGCGACCCGAGTCTGCTTTGTCGTGTGGATCTGCTTCCATTACTTTTAAACGAGACCCAAGTACTTCCTGTCCGTGTAACACCTGGAGGAGGAGATAAGTGTCGTTAGTTTTAATTGCTATGTTTATGATTTGTTTAAGCCATTTTCTACTGACAATCAAATATCTTACATCACACTACCCATCAGAAAGAGTGTCTAGGAATACTTGGATAGTATGAAATGGTACCCTATCTGTCCCTGAGCTAAAGAGATAGTACTCCATTAGTATGGGAATGGTGTAGGGGAGATGGGTTAAGTCAATATACTTTGTCAATTTCTTTTACCAGATGAGATACAGAAAGGGTATCCTTTCATTTCAAATTTAATTATCGAGGACACCTCTAGGACTCAAAACTCTATAAAATAAAAGTATGTATTTCTATGCACAGGCTATAAAAGAATCTATTGATATCAAGCAACATTTACAACTTGTTAATCAAATAAACCATAAGTGAAGACTTACCACAATTGCCTTATCTGCGGAATCTTTGCTAGCATATTTAGCATATCCGAAAGTTTTTCCGTTCAGCATATAAATATCGATAAGGTTTCCGAATCTCCCGAAGACATCCTTCAATGCATATATTGGAGGAGGTGACGGATGACACACAATAAACAACCTGAAACACGAATCCACATCATTTAACAACATTTCAGGGAGAGAAACTACACTATTTACATACAAAATACAATTAGAAAAATGCAAAACCCAAATGAATGACTCCCTGCCCCCATCAACCCTCTAAATGAAGCATCAACACCTGGTCTTGCATTCACCTTTCTGCCACTGCCGAGTCCACGGGTGCAAGGGGCTGTGGGGGGGGTAATTTGACCGAGCAGTAGGATGGGTCATACGTCTCGCCACCGCCTGTCTGCCCTTGAGTGCCCATGTTGTTGTGCCCTGCTGATCCTGAAATGATGAAGCATGTGTGAACCAAGGCATTTCCTTGAATTTGGTGTATCTATATATATGTAAATATATATATATAATATATATGTATGTATGTATGTATGTATGTGTATGTATATATCATGTATAGATATAGATATTTACAGATATATGAAGATATGCATATATATGTATATGTATGTATACATATACATATATATATTTTATACATATATATATGTATATGTATGTGTCTGTATGTGTATGTATATGTATTACATATATACAGTAAATCGCCAACTTGAGAACATAATGGGGACCGAGAGGCTGTTTGTAAGTTGA